TATTAATCTATCTGTATTGCTCGTAATTCTACATTTGCATGATTAGAATCTAAGAGTGACCATTTTGTGTGGGTCTTCTGGTGTAGTTTGGCCAAAAAGATGAATCCAAATGGATGGTGTATGGAAAATTTTGCAGGGTAATATTTCAATTAGAAAACAGATTTTTCTTCTGCAAAAAATTTTGAAAATATAATAGATATTTGGACAGTATGCAGCGTGTTTTATGTAAACGCTTTCTTATATAAGTTGTTTTCTTTGTCCTGTATTGAAGACAGGCTGCCCGGCCAGGATCGCTGTGGAGTCAGCGCTCATCTAGAACGTCTATGCGGTGACTCCTGTGGTGGGAATAGTGAGAGATTTCTTACGTAATACCTAGTTAGTCCCCAAATGTATTCACATTACAAGCCGAAACAGATGTGGATCGCGCACAAGTGGGTCTATCAGGAACTTCTCAAGAAAATGTTCGTTGGGATCGATTAGAAAAGTTGCACGAGATGGCGCGTAACAGTTTTAAGTGTCTTCAAAATTAAGGATGGAAGTCCCAATCATAACGTAGTAAGCAAACAAACTATCTTGCAAGCATATAGGTAAGGCACTCATCCAATTTACCTCGCACAAAGCTACAGGCTGACAATAGAGAAGCTGGCCACCTGTAACAAATTAACGCAAATGCAAAAAGCTCCACAGTACCAACCAACACTGCACTGGCAGTAAAGCCACTGCAGTGGCAGGACGTTACGATGTAGCATTACTGGACAGTACAAGAATGCCAGTAGGAAAGTATATAGGAATTTAAGAGCATAAACCTTTTTAACCCAATTTAAGGCTTTTGTTGAAATTTCACGTGTGACATTGTGCATCATTACGATCGCAGGCATGTAGTAGATTCTACTAGCAAACCCGAGCACGTCAAATGTCTTTATACAGACAGTCAAAAAATCCATGTAACCCGTCCTCTTGAGGTCAAAAGGTTCATTCTGAAATCACTTACTCTTCGCACGGCACAGATTAGATTTATTGATCTCATGTGCTGCAAAAGCAAAAATATCAGCACCCCTCCTGAACAAAAGTTTTTCAATCGCTCGTCAGACCATGTCCTCGAGAAATGTCTTAAAACTCTGCCCTGTGCCATTGACCTTTTGACCTGTTGACCTCCAATTTCGGCACGAGTGATGGGTTTTCCTCCATGATGCTATACACCGACTATCACAGACACTAAGTTTGGTCGAGCGTTTAGATGTTGTGCCGGCAATCTGCATTTCGCTCCCTAATACATTAAGTTAAGGGAAGTGAATGTTCCCTTCTTTTACCTCTCTTCCGTGGCCTATTGACCTTTGACCCCCAAGCGTTCGACATCAATCTCAGTTTTCGGATTATTCCCCCCCGGTTCCCGAGGATTATCGGCTGACATTACGGCCGACCCGACGTGGGTTAAGATTTGTGCCCAACTGTTGACGGACGGACGCACGGACGATCATGCGATTCTACAAGCTGCATCTGACTATGTCAGATGAGCTAAAAATAAAGAAGTGACTACTCTTTAGGCAGAAATGGGTCAATGGAATATAGCAGGCTAATGTCCGCGACTGCTTCACCTATGAAATAGCGATTGCCATGTCACAAAGGGTTACCATATACCAAATGCTTGGTCACCTGGTGCAAACAAAAATCACAATTAAATTTTTTATAATCTTTAGCTTTTTATTACCAATAAAACATGATTGGTTAGATTTATAATTGAAACGGATATATAACTATACATCTCGATGTTTACAATATATTACTAATAGCTCATAGGTATACCAATTAAAAAAAAATGTCTATGGCAAGGATAAACTGATAGTTCATATTAATAAATCTTTGTTAGATAATATATATAAATAATGACAGGACATTCAACTTATTTCACACCAGAATTGAATACCAGTTTCAATACTCCAGACCACCCACTTGGTAGATTTAAAGTGTTACCATTCTTTACAAGCCTAGACACCGGCAAGTGAATGATGCATCACACGTGAGCTGCAGCCATCCATTGCATGTCACCAACTGAAATATGCTAAAGCTACGACGACGAGTGTTCCTCCTTGCTCACGGGTTCTGCCACGTCGTTTGTCTCCATGTTGGATAGCAGAAGTGCATGTAGCTTCTGTGACAAACTCTCACTTTTCTGTTCAAGAACGTCAAGGCAGGAACTCAACTGGTCGATGGTTTGGTCTAATTCCACGTACTCCTCACCCCCTTCCACTGGTTCTTCCTCCTCTCCTTCTACCTGCTCTTCAGCACCTGCAAGAACAATGAAACTTCATTAAACGCTTCTTCTTGTGAAAACATTATTTATAACAGTCCTTCATCGACGTGATAAAACGAGGCATGCCGTAAACGCTCCACCTGGGTTTTCCAATTAAGGATTGGCGGATCGAGGATAGCTTGGGACCCCGCAAATGTGTTTTCGCATATGTGCTAAACTAATCCGGGGTGCTAAACTAGGCTTGGGTCGGATTGGCGCTCCTCGACCCGCTCCACATTTAATTCTCTGCACTTATTAGGCATACTCATGATATTGCTCTCTAGAATTATTAATATTAATTTATAATTATTATGCTCATAGTCATAGTCATACTCATACTCATAGTATCATAGTCATAGTATCATCTATATTATCTTACTCCTGATAGTATTAGTAGCACGTAGTGGTTTGTACTGTGAAGTGTGTTGTGTATTATTACTTATAAGTTATACTGTATCGGCCACCGTGTACACTGTACCGCACGGTGTACTTAGCCTGGGCAAGTAGTTTAACAATTTAATTGGCATTATTTTTAATACTCGACCTTCACTTCCAGACTCCAATGGATCTTCCCCTACACCATTCTTCATCTTGCTGCTTTCACATTGATTATTTTCCTTGGCCATACTGGAATGTTCTTGTATTTACATGAGTACTACCGGTTCCGCCCGAGGTTTGCCGATGGCCGTGATTCATCATAATATCACTAGAATCTAAAAAAATGATCGATATATAGCTAGCTATATATTTTATATATAAGTATACAGTTATTATATGAAGATCAGTTTATATAGCTGCATTACTTTTGGGCGCAAGTCGCGAGTTTTGTGTTGCCACAAGTACTGCTGAATCAGTGAATGATCTCTGTGATTTCTATGCCATGTGTAAACATGGCGGTGTGCTTGAATAAGTTGTTCAACCCATTTTCCACATGCCTAATGTTCATATTGATTGTTCATTCATCGACAACAAACAATAATATCAGCGACAGTCAGATCGATAGTAATGGCTACGTGGCTTACTGTCCATGTATGGGTGAGTCATATAACAAAGCACAACTCTGAAACGCAGTGGCAGTGCCAGTGCCAGTGGCAGTCACTGACATAGCCCGACCAGGCTGTGCGACGGAGTGTCTATACATCCTAACCCTAGCGATACCGTTTCTCGGAGCTATCACTGACACTGAGGTCTACTCTAGGCTCACGTGTCAACTCGGTTCAACTGTAACGACGAAGATGACGTTACCCGCTTAAATGTAGATTTGTTGTAGCGATGAATAATGAAACTCCAAACTCCAAGCAGTAGTGTTCAGCAAAACTAAACACAACTACTTATTTTACCAATCTGCACGAACCATACCTTTACATTCACCTCCCTTTCCTCGAGAACGAATGGCTTCTATTAAGCCCATTGACTTTAGCGTCCGTCGCTAATCTAAAATACACCCTAATACTTAATCCACCCCTAAACTACACACCACGCGAATCACCACAGCACCACACACACACACACACACACACACACGCAGGACACCTGCTCTCTCATGCCTGGCATTTAGGACCACATCCAACATTACCGGCTAAAGAAATTGCTCGTACCCTTACGAATACTAAATACAATATCTCTTTCACCGAACACTATATTAATATACTCAATACAAAAAACAGTATTGAAACACAAAATCCATATGACCACTATAATACAACATCGCCATACACCAGATACACAGGTAACAACAAGTCAAAATACAATAAGAGATCACAGTATGAAGCGTAGAAAAACAATTAACGATAAAAGTTCCCCAACCCCCTAACCCCAACAAATACCCCAGAAATCAAGAAAAACTCAACAACATTTGGCATAACATTCTTTGATATCGCATAAAGGGGCAATTAATTTTCACTACTTGACGTAATTGGTTATGGCTGTAACCGTACGTGGCGAATTACAGTGTAACGCAAACAGGAAAACAGCATTCGCCTGGGTGCGAAACACTTTCAAGGCGATGTGCTTTTCCTTATATCAAGAAGCGCTGATTATGGTCAAAATATATCTACTCATAATCCCAGGACAGAACACAAGACCCAGGCAAACAGGCCTTAATTACACAGCAGTCCTTGACGTGGACCTGACATTACCTGGGGTTGGTCTACTTCCTTGGGTTTCATAATAAATATAATCCACACATTCAGATAACACATACGTAAAACAACCCAACTAAAATGATACAGCAAAAGTGATGGTCTCAACTGAATTGTCGATAGAAGCGATGTTTTTAGGCCTCTAAATCTACTCAACACGACCGTGATTGAAGTTTAGAGTGTGGTCCCAGTCGTCTATAACAATATAGTGAGACCAAAACAGTACCTGTCACTGGTTACACAAAATTCAATGTAAAACAGAATCAACATAAATTTCTTAAATACAATAGTTTCACAAAACAAAGATTTTCCACACACACAAAAAAAACGGTCATCAAAACCATAATATATCATCGAACAAAATAAACCAACGGCGTTCATTCTGAGGGACATACCAAATAAAAAAATCCTAACGGATACATTACTACAAATTAACATAACATAACAAATATGTTCAGCTTTAATGAACGCAGTGCGAACAATTAAACTGTGTTTGCGGCGTGTACCTTAATTCCAATAGTTATTTGCCTGCTCTGTGTCAAAGTATAAATAACAGACCATCGACATAACACCTAAACATTTGGCAACCGTTTGATACTAAAATCAGGTATCCCAGGCATAAAAACAACGTATGGTCGCACTCGCTTGCATGCGTGTATACACGGAAATAAGCCTCGCGATAAATCTTACACGCTTTATAACTACACGTTCTCTCACTTTAAC